CTACCAAAGTCTAGGATGAACTAATTCAACAGTCTGTTTCCACTCTACAAAGTTGTCAAATTAATATTTACGGGATTCTGCAAAAATAAAATATTAAGAATGTGCAAAAAGCCAGAGTACTTATGTTTTCAATGTCATTAAAATCTGACCAGGGATTTGCCGAAAATTTCACTTGAGCTGAACCAAATGGATGCCAAGCTATCAAAAGAAATAAAAAAAAACTATTGAGAAAAATACAAAAAAATACATTTAATATAAAAGCAGATAGAAGTGCATAAAAAACTAATCAGCAGAGATAGTGATCATGTAGGTAACCTAAGTGTATATCAAATTTCCTTTGAACTGGATTGCATTGTCTCAGATTGGCTGCTAATTTGCGTATTAATTTGCATACTAATTAACATATTGTAGTTGTATTAAAATAATATACAAAATAATATCGGGAGTTTTAAAAAAAAAATTATGACTATTAAGTCAACATCATTAAAATTGAGGATTACGTGAATTTGACCCCCTCCCTAAAATTGTTTCACATATCCCTTAAAAACATGGCCGCCATTAAATTCATCTCAATCGAGGTCCGTAATTTATTTTCCTGCTCATAATGGAGATAAATTATGGTAGCTAAACATTGAAATTGCCACCCTGACTTCAGTACCGAAATAAATAGCTGATTGGGAAAATGTGTCTCTGTTGACAGAGACAGTTGAGGAAGGCTAACCGAGTCGTGACCTCGATTTGGTTCGTAACCAGTCTTGTGATGGGTTGTTGACAAATGCTGAACAGGCCACGCCTCTAACTGTGCCGTGCGTTCGGGCAAACCGATAGAAATTCCTAAATGGAGTAAATTTGTGTAGTTTTCTTGATTTATTCTGCAGATATCAGTAAAATGTAGTAGGGCTTTGGCGAAATTTGAAGAAGCAACTAATATTCTTCAACCTGGTATTTTTTTTATATTTTATTTTTCATTCTTTTCGACTGTTTTTTCGAGTTTAAAAAATGTGAGCTGGCTGGAGCCTTCATCCCTTGTCTATTTCTTACACTAGATACCAGCCGTTTACCCCCCTCCCCCCCTGCTCATAGAGACTGCGTATTACAGTTGATTATAGTTCCTGGGCTCCCTGTGGTCTAATATGTCGTCACGAAACCAAGTTTCAATCTGCTAGCTGTTGCCAATAAACACCGGAAATAGCAATCGTACATAACAGAATCACGATCAGCGTGTTCTAAACTTTTACGTTTTTATTATTCCAGCATTTTATATGCCAAACGTTATTCCCAAGCCTCCTAAATGACGAGATAAATTTTTGATTTACACGATTCATAACCAGTTCTTGAACTAATAGCAGGACTGTTTTTCTGGCAAAGTGTGACACTGTGCAATCGCAAGTTTCTCACTAAAGTCAGGACACAAAAGGATAAATCAAAGTTCATAATAAATACAATAAGCACAGTTTCTTACTTTTGAGATAGAATTTAATCTATGTAAGCCTTGTGTAAAGAAAGATACAGTCCCGGAATACAATATCCTCAGACGAAATCGACGGCGATTTCCTCAGCGGTTAGACTGGCACATGCGCAATACGGTATGCCAGTTCTCTTGCGAGATGTCGTTAAAACTCGGATTTTTCCGGCAAATTTCGGCACTTGTACGAGTAAAATGTTGAAAATCACAGGAAAACACAATGAAACTTTGGCGAAAATACTTGGCGTGCATATGTATGGCATTGAGAATTACATTTGCACCAACTTGGAAAAAAATTGGAAAAATGGTAAAAGACAGACGCACAGACGGACGGACGGACGGACGCATGGACAGAA